TTTACGATTTTTACAATTGCAAAATATTAACATAAAAATTGACATAACCGATCATACGACCATAGTAGATCTAGTGTCAACAGTTCCATCGAATCCTAAATTAATCCTCAATCAGTTTTTAATCATTCCTCGTACTTGAAATTCATCGACTCGAATTAACCCTTTGCGCTACGATTTTTTTCACAAGCATGTTAATTAGCACTTCCTCGACCGTAACAATTTTCCTGATGGAACGAGGCAATTTTTCTTTCTTTCATGTCTTCATTTACTTTCGTTCCTACACTTGGATAACATAAAAATCACATTTTTACTATGAAAGCATAGTCACGTGTCCGACTCGTCGTAGTGCAAGGGGTTAAACGAGATTTGAAAAATACGAACGACTTTTTAAGTCATGCGGCATTGTCGAAGATTAAAGTTTTCGTGAAAGCACGAATTTTCGATCGGAAAAGGGGAACTGAAATTTCGATTTATCGCGGGAATGAAAGGTCGCGACGATTCTAATTGTTTCTTTACGAGCGTTCTACCGTCACAAAAGACGCGGCGGCAGTTAAATGGCTGGTGCGATTAATTGGAGCGAATGGGAAAGAGGTTCAACGCTTAAAACGTCCATTCAATTGCATTTAAAAAGGCGTGTTCGCCTGGGGACTACTTTGCAGCCTCGGGAAGCTTCAAATTACATTTTACATTACTGTTATGACGGTCAGATGCGTCGGACACGTCCTCTGTATAATTCCTATATCCCGTTTTATTACTCGTATTTTCCGCGTCTTATTTTATTTTGTTGCACTGTCCCACTCACGAATGCCCATTCAATACGATCAATTGATCAATGAGACAAAATGCACATTTTAAAGGAATTCAAAATGGAATAAATACACGCAGGTGACACTCATTGACACTGAGCATTGTTACAACAAAAGAACTGATCTCTACAATTAAATTGTACTATAGCGTGTAGGATTTACGTGTCATGATTAAAAAATGATACCTTTCGAAACACTTGGGAGAACTACCGCGAATGAGACACTTTTGTTTAGGACAAGATAACAAAAAAAAACTGAACGACATATCTAATAACAATAAATTAATATAACGCAATAACTTAAATTGAAATCTTGAAATTACGATTCGCGGCGTTTTTCCTTATAGCCATAGAATAATAGTTCGCGGATGTTTGACTACGTAAAACAGGATTTTTTAATGCTTCACGAATGTCTGCGAGTTCGGAAGAAAAAAGCTTCAAAATGTGTAAAAGCGCTCGCTGAGCTTTACGAATTTTCTAGCAATCTCAAGGAACACCTATAAAATCCATCTCTGGATGGGTGTACCGCCTTGAGCCGAAAAAGGCACGAACTAAATCTATAACGAGCTCCGCCTGCCAACAAAGAACAACGCTCGAAAGAAAACAACCCTCGTTTCCGCTCGGCGTCGCTCGGCATCGCGCTCGTTTGATGATTAATTAAAACAGTGCGGGACGACTGCTTGACCTTGCCCGAAATTTCAGAAAGGAATTCATTGTACCGAGGAGCGAATGTACTCCACGTATTTCGGGAACGAGTCGACGTTCCTCTCGTGTTCCACGTTGTACCCCGACGGAACCGTCGACCAGGACGCGTTTACGTGCTCCGTCGTTCCCAGCCAGAGGTAGACCTCGATCTTGCAGGCAGCGTAATCGGCCTCGCCGCTCTCCGACGGATTTCTCATGAACACGTCGATCTTTCGGCCGCATTTGTGGCCCCTCTCGGCCGCGTCCTCCGAGTAGATCAATTCCTCCGCCGGAAGCCGCGTGCAGGCGACGCGCTTCGATCCGGATATCATCCAGATGAAAACGTCCGGGAGACTGTGCTGCGGCTGATCAAATTGTCAGATCCCATTAATTACCCAGCGGTCGCGAGCTTCGATCGACCGCGACTTTTATCGCGAAGCCGCGAATCAATTCGTGCACCCACCAACAATTCAGCGCGTTAAAATCATAGTCACTGTACATTCGTCACCTTTGGGTACGCGTGACCTCTGAACCAACGTGTTCCGCACGTTAAAATTTACATTCTCAGCGGTTTCTTGTCAATATCTATGTAAATATACCATAGAAAGTCGAGAAATTTTGGTCCCCTAAAGAAAACTTTAAATAATCTGAATAATAAATTTGGTCAGTAAACAATGCGGATTTTAGTAAACAATAACACTTCTTTCTGAAAAGGAGAAAAATTTGAGCCACTATGATTCTAACCCTCTGAATTGTTTTCTCGAGAAAATGGCCGCTCCGTCGGGGATTCCGATACCCGAAAAGTGCTCTGCGACTCGAACGCTTAAGAAATTCACAATTTCCGTGAGCAAGAATGAAGTTTAGAAACCGCTGCGGCTGCGGATCGATGCACCGAACAACAGCACACCGAGAACAATAATTCCTTCGCCGAACGAAACCAAATTGACAAGTGGAAATTCAAGCCTAGCTATTGGAACAGAAAAGGCGAGCATTACTTGAAAAAAAAGAATATCGAGACCACCCTCTCGTTCGACGTTATCCACCCGCACGCGAACTTCCCATTCGTTTTATTCGTCGCCGCCATCCGGCGAAGGGTTGAGCATTTTATTGGCCCGTATCCTCGTTCCAGCCCTTGCGTATTACTCTCCGAGGAAAGAAGAAAGGGAAGCTCGCGTGCGAGCCGGGCATAAAAGTCGACTCACATCTTCCCGTAACTTCTTCACCTTTTTCAGGTACTGGTACCCGTGCGCCATCGCGATCCTGAGGTAGCGGTTGTTCGGCAGTTCCCCGTTGATCTTGATCCTCCGTAGGATGCTCTCGATCTCTTTACGGCAAAGGTTCACGCGATGTCGATCGAGCCTGGTTGTTCCGCCGTGCTCGTACCACCGGCCCGAGTCCAGCCTATGCAAATACCGGCTGAAATAGTCCTGTAGACTGCGGATCGTTTCGTTGTAGAGTTTGTAGGCTTCCGGGTCCTCTAACGCTGCCATTCCGCCAAGTGTCTCCAACTTCTGCCCCTGTTGTGGCAAATTATTTGGCCAGCGTAACGAAATTCGGAACTAGTTTCCATAAATTGTTTTGCCTAATCTGCGGATACGCTGGTTCTCTGCCAGTCTTAATGTGATATGTTTTTGTTCCGTATTGTAGTTAGTTAGTTGGTCTAATTTTGTTTAGGTAGACAAGATATTAATTAGACCGAAAAGTGGGTGTTTACCCGCGTATTTATATAAATTAAATGAATTACGTAAATTACAGATATTAAAGAAGTTAAAGAAATTGGAGAAATTGAAGAAATTGAAGAAATTGAAGAAATTATAGAAATTATAGAAATTATAGAAATTAAAGAAATTATAGAAATTTAAGAAAATAAAGAAGTTGAAGAAAGTAAATAAATTAAAGAAATTGAAGAAATTGAAGAAATTAAAGGAATTGAAAAAATTATAGAAATTATAGAAATTAAAGAAATTATAGAAATTAAAGAAAATAAAGAAATTAAAGAAATTGAAGAAATTGAAGAAATTAAAGGAATTCAAAAAATTATAGAAATTATAGAAATTAAAGAAATTATAGAAATTGAAGAAAATAAAGAAATTAAAGAAACTAAAGAAATTAAAGAAATGAAAGAAGTTAACGAGATTAAAGAAGTTAAAGAGATTGAAGAAATTAAAAGAATTAAAGACATTAAAGAAAAATTAAAGAAATTATAGAAATTAAAGAAATTAAAGAGATTAAAGAAATTAAAGGAATTAAAGAAATTAAAGAAATTATAGAAATTAAGAACATTAAAGAAATAGGAGACTTTCTACCCCCTCATGACAAAAATCAGTGCTTTTCCAAGAAATGGTTTAGGCATTAACTTATTAAAAAGTAAACGAAATAAAAGAATAAAAATGAAGTTAATTGCATTCAAAAACAAAGCAAAGGCACAGCAATTGGTCACCCCACAAGTAACCGGCGCCTAGCCGTTCCACCCTAATCCTCTGACAACATAAATGAAAATTCAGATTATTTTCGAAGTTATCGACTCTCGATGCAGCATTTTCACAGCTGGTTAACGCGATTGCAGAGTATTTGCTGACCTGATCATCTGAAAATATTAACAGACTGTGGATAAACGGAAAAGTGAGGGATACGCCCATGATCCGACGGCATTAAACCAAATTGTTCCCGAGGAAATCGGCGATCCAGTTCGTGCCCTGGAAACTTGCCTCGTTCGCCGTGGGAACCCGGCTCCGGGATCTATGAAATATTTCTTCGACACGTCCCGGAAGTTTGCCGGGCCGGCCTTCGGGTCAGTGACGCACTGCGATCTTAATGCGCCCGGCGTCAATAGATTTAAACGCGAAAGTTGCCCGGCGAAATTATGGCTGGCCGATCCCGGCCCGATTCTCTCGTGCCGTCGCGTCCACGGGAAAAGAAACGATGGAAAGTTTGCACAGATTCGGGACAAAGTGGTGTGCAATTATACGATCGATAGAGTGCGGTGCAACGAACTGCTTCCCGATATAGACACCGAATGTCTATGTGAGAAAACTCGCGAAAATATCATCGAACGATATCCGATAAAAAGAAGTCTACTGTGAATATACGGCGGATAAAAAGCGTACCGATTTTGACGAACAAGGAAGATAAAATTCGAGACGCGGCGCGCAATCTAGATGAACGAAAATCCTACTCGACAGCGATGCTATTTACGCTAACTTCTATGTGGCCGATATAAACGCGAGACTTCAAACTACCATTTCCCATTGATTTCAACCGCAAACAAAAAGTTTGCTAATGCTAAAATTAGTTTCGATCCGATGACGGAAACTGCGCATCGATTTGATCGACGATTCCGTCGATGTGGAGTTTCGACATGAAAAAATAACGAAGCTGGATAAAGATAGCAGAAGAATCGCTCACTAGGAAATCGGCGACACGGCCCAGGCTGTTGCTATTGTGCATCCTCCACTCGAGGTCAGGCCACCAGGACTTGACGTACAAGCACGGTTTTCGCGAGCCAAGAGGCAGATAATTATATTTGCCATCCAGCGAACCAGTCAGTCGTGGAACGGTGCCGCTCTCGAAGTCCGGTCTCCGCTCTGGCATCCGGTTTCCTGTTGATAATTAATCACATTTTACGGTGAACCTATCCTGCATCCGAACGCAAACTCTCGACCGTATTAACGAGCAATCTGCGGGCCGGCGTGCGATTAGGCCGAGCGAACGAGAACGCCGCGACCGATACGGTTCCATCGATGCCACACCGATTTCACAGCCGATCCCGCAAAGAGATATCAAGAATGAAGCCTCGATAACTCGATACCGTCGTAGTTGTCCTCGGAGCATTGGCTGTGCGCGAATTGCCTGTTCCCCGCGTTCCCGAGACTAATTTCGAAGCTTATCGGCTTCAGCCGGAATTTTCGCCGGTCGATCATGCTCGCGTCGTAGAGGATCGCGAGGAGGACGTACTCTTCCGTTTCCCATAAACGGTTCTGCAAAACGCGAAGAAACTCGTTCGGGACAATTGAGACGCATAGATGAAGCTGGAATATATTTGAACGATCCCTTCGGAGATTGAAAGTTGGCTTGTTCGTCTTTCGAATAAATTCGTCGATTCAAATTTTACTCGGATAATGTGTCGAAGAGATTCTTCGAACAAAATTTTATTCTTATAACAATTCGAATAAATTCTTTGAATTAAATTCTATTCGAGAAATAATTCAAGCAAAATTGTATTCTTATATTCGAATAAATTCTTTGAATTAAATTCTATTCGAGAAATAATTCGATCAAAATTGTATTCTTATAATATTTCGAATAAATTCTTTGAATCAAATTTTATTCGAGAAATAATTCGATCAAAATTGTATTCTTATAATATTCCGAATAAATTCTTTGAATCAAATTTTATTCGAGAAATAATTCGATCAAAATTGTATTCTTATAATATTTCGAATAAATTCTTTGAATCAAATTTTATTCGAGAAATAATTCGATCAAAATTGTATTCTTATAATATTCTGAGTAAATTCTTTGAATCAAATTTTATTCGAGAAATAATTCGATCAAAATTGTATTCTTATAATATTCCGAATAAATTCTTTGAATCAAATTTTATTCCAGAAATAATATGATCAAAATTGTATTCTTATAATATTCCGAGTAAATTCTTTGAATCGATTTACTCAAAAAATAATTCGAACAAAATTCTATTCTTATAATATTTCAAATAAATTCTTCGAATTAAATTTTATTCCAGAAATAATTCGAACAATCTTATTCTTATAATATTTCGAATTAAATTTTAAATTTGAATTAAATTTTATTCGAGAAATATATATATTTCGAGTAAAATGAAGTATAATCTTTCGAATAAAATATGTCCAACTATAATCGATTTTCTAAAAGTTCCAAACAACAGTACCCCGTTAAGAATCCTTACGATGTTTTACAATAGTTTCGACATTCTTCAGGATTTACTTTGAAAGTCCAGTCTAAGCTAGCGTTGCACGTCCAAAGTAGAACCATCGATGGACTCCGAATGGCAAGAACGGAGTACAGCGAAATAACAATTAAGAAAGAGAATGGCAACGTGGGGGTTTTATTGTTGGACGGATGAGCGAGTAAAGAGAAAGAAATCGACGAGGTCTCGTTGGGAAGGGAAGCGGATAGGACACGTACCTCGATGATGGGAGCCGTGGGCTCTGTTTCGGTGCCGATTCCGGTCGACGCTTCTGGGTCATCCATTTCCGTTTTTAGGGATAGAAGAACTCTGCCACGGTAGAAGGGAAGGGCTGTCAGGCACTTGCCGAAACAGCTGCTGCTTTCTGCGGCGCCGGAGCCGGAGCCGTAAAAGTGGAGGAACGACGGTCCGAAAGTCGGCAGGAAACCTTATAAAGGTGACAAGCCGGTACGTCAAGGATACTTTATGTTTCTCTTGGCTACGTCGCCTACGTTCATATTGCACGGCGTCGTTCTATTCGACCGCGAAATGGTTTTCCACTTTCCTAGAAAAATCTCTGACGGTTATCGAATCGTTTTTTTTTCCGCGAGACAGTTGCATCGCTACGCCCATGTAAACTGCATGGGAAACTCTAGATGAGATATCCGGGAGAGTTTGCTCGTCCGAAATTTGATTGTGACACGGCTGAATCGTCAGTGTTGAATTAATTCGTGAACTTTGGTAGTGGGAAACTGTGCTCCGAAATGAAGATTCGGTTAATTTGAACTGTTCAGAAAATATCGGTTTCGACGAGCATCGATTGATAGAGCAGTCGCGCTGGAGTATGATGATGAGATTGTGGATTTTATGCATTTATGGCGAAGAAGAGTAAGCATAATTTAAAACAGTGCAAAGATTAAAACGAACTAAGAGTGTCGATGCATTTTATGCATTTATGGCGAAGAAGAGTAAGCATAATTTAAAGCAGTGCAAAGATTAAAAAAGACTAAGAATGTCGATGCATTTTATGCATTTATGGCGAAGAAAAATAAGCGTAATTTAAAGCAGTGCAAAGATTAAAAAGAACTAAGAATGTCGATGCATTTTATGCATTCATGGCAAAGAATTGTAAGCATAATTTAAAACATTATAAAGACTAAAACAAAACTAAGAATGTCGATGCATTTTATACATTTATTGCAAATAGTAAGCATAATTTAAGACAGAGCAGAGATTAAAACAAACTAAGAATACATTAATTTGACCTTATTAAAATGATTAAAGAGAGAAAAACACTTGTGCTCCTGCAATTGATGCAGACAATTTTCATTTGGCATAAAAATCCGCAATCTAATTAAGATGAAGTATGTGACCATCCAATGTAAAAAGAGCCGATCGAAAACGATCGATATTTTATATTGTTGCGTCGAATCAATTTCTCACGAATGGCGGACCGTAAAGTCGCGCTTAAATTTAGCAGTCTTTAAAAGATTTGCACTTTGACGCTTTCTAACTTATCGAACTTTTGGAACGTCGGAAACCGTGGCGTAGCTTAAAGAAAGCTTACGTTCTGATGACGCTTAAACGGAGATTACGCTAACCGTATTCCCCAGAGTGCGACAACTTCTGCAAGTTGAGAATGTGAGACGCGACAACACAAGTTTGACAGCTATTAACGCGGTGCTTTATGGCGATCCTCGCGCGTTGGCAGAGCGAGGGGAACATTTCCCTGAAGATAATTTTCTCGTTAAACCTGGGCCCGTAAGTCTGCCATGCCTCGCTGGTCGTCCCCTGCACAAATTGTTATTATACGCGTAATAATTCGGAATTCGCCCGGTCTCGTTGTACCGTTTAATCCAATTAGGGGAAAGTTGACAAATGCGTACGGATCAGCCGGGTCGCGGCCCGCGAATTAATTCGAGAGCTTATCGTACCTTCATCCCAGCGAAAGATATTTGCACGTACGGATTGATATTCTCGAAATCGGTTTTTGAACACACGCTGCTCATGTCCGGCAGCCCATCCGCCCGGTAAATTGCAAAAATATAGCGCGCGTGGCTCCTGTACGCCAGTGTCATGCCATCAAACGGCAGCAATAGGTTCCTGCAATTATCGTTTCCGATTAACCCTCGAATATCGTCGATCAACGTTGACGGGGGCTGCTATCGAACCGATTCGACCCCTGTCCAAATTTTTTTTACACAAAATTCAAACGCGAAGAAATCAGTACGAATTTGTTCTCTAGAACATGAATAATAGTATTGGGTTGGCAACTAAGTAATTGCCGATTTCAGTTATAGATGTCTCTCACTCCCATTTTTATGATATCCGTAAATGTTATATTATAAAATTATTATTATTATTATTATTATGTTATTTTTTATTATCCGTGAATGTTAGCAACTGGACAAATTGAATGCAGCGGTCAAGGAAAAGCGACCAGAATTGGTCAATCGTAAAGGTGTCATTTTCCAGCAGGACAATGCTAGGCCGAACACGTCTTTGTCCACTCGGCAAAAATTGATGGATATTGGTTGGGAATTGATGTTACACCCACCATATAGTCCTGATCTCGCGCCATCGGATTACCACTTATTTCGATCCCTGGACAACTCCCTTCGTGGTAAAACTTTTAATGATGATGACGCTGTAAAATCTCACTTAACTCAGTTTTTGGCCGAAAAGGATCAGATTTTCTACGAGCGTGGAATTTTCAAGTTGTCAGAGAGATGGCAA